CGGACTAGATGATCTGCTGAGGTCCCTTCCGACCCTAGAAACTATGAAACTATATATTTCACAAACTCATCCTATTTACAGTATGGAGCTGGAAGAGGTGGAAAGAGCTTAGTGCCAGACTCAAGACTATTTACTTAGAGATTCAACCCCCAACAAAGAATCCTTTTAACATTCCTCCCCAGCAAGCTGTAGCTCTTCTTCCTCTTGAGTTCAGAAGGAGTTTCTATGAAGCCAAAAATTAAAACAAATCCCATCACTCCTCAACAAGCAAAGAATTCAAACCATTCCAAGTGCCGCATGCATACAAGCTCCAACGGAGCTGCTAAAATAATATCATCAAGACACAGATCATAGCCAAGAATTTGTCAGTCAGAGCCAAACTCCTAAAATGTTCGAGAGTATTTTAGGTTCAAATAATCTCTAGCAGTTTTTAACCTGGTGGCACTTAGACCACTCTGTGTACATGAATATAATGTGTATGACATAAATGGTAGGCATGAATCCATAGGGGTTAGAAAGCAAGTGAAACAAGCAGAGGCCGAATGTACCACGTAAGTTTAAGTCTGAAGGAAAGGGGAGGGATGAGGGAGCAGTTTTCAAATGTTTGAAAAGCTGCAATCAAGAAAATGAAGCAGGGTTTTTCCTCACCACAGCGGGCAGGACAAGTGGCAATAGTTTTAAACTGCAGCAAACCTCATTTAGATCAATTCTGAAAATGTTTCCTAATGGTAAGGAAAGTAGGACAGTGGAACAAGTTACCAATGGAAACTGTAGAATCTCCTTTTGCTTTCTGGGAGATACTGCATAGGCATCTATCTGGGATGGTTTAGGGCTAGAAACCCCTAGATTTTTGCAACGGGTTGGACAAGCTGACCCTGAAAGTCCCTCCCAACCAGAAAATTCATACATGAGCAAGTGCTACTGGAGTGTGTATCCCTGGAGTGAAGGGCACAAGCCATTTATTGGCACATAGCATACAACTCAGGAGTGAGTGTGGGCTGAATTCTGACAAAGGAAAAGCAAGTAAAACATAAACTGTACAATTTTTTGTGCCTATCCAGAGAGGACCAGACTTTGGTTTTCAGTGTTTCATTTGCAAGGTCCCTCCACAATAAACTACACAGAACGGAGAGGGACAAAGGAGTTTCTGGGAGCAGAATGCCAGAGACAGTAACTAGTTCAACCTGAATTCTTTGCACCAGTGAAAACCCTCCTCTCCACATGTAGCACATGAGAGCACCTTTTTCATCCATGGGAACAGCTACCTCATACAAACAAACTAAATACAACATATTTTTGGCAAAGAAAAAAAATGGAAGTTTCTGCGCACTGCAATATGCGTGAAACTGCTATGCTTCTTTGAAGCGTATCAAGGCTCAGCCATACCCTACACGCAGAAATGCTGTTTGGTGACATGAACTGGGTTAGGAGGCAAATTACAGGAACAAACCAAGTCAAGGAGAAAAAAATCAGAGTATGAAAGTTACCCCTTAGAAGAAACAGAATATACTAAGCTATGGCTTATGATATTTTCTATGTGCATGAACTGAGTTCATAGCATCCCCCTCCAGCATTTTATGGGAGATAGACAGATTCCTCCTCTACTGAGATAAAAATATTCAATACTCCAACGTTGCCACCTTCATATGAAGTCCTATATATAGCCACTATGACAGTATTTTCTTATCTTTCAAAAAACAAAGAACATCTCCAACTCTTTTGGGAGTTGACAGACAGGATTTCGATCGATGGCTCTTTCCAAAGCATGTCGGACATGTTTGACATTTACATCCGAGACCAGCAGTAGGAGACTCTTATACTGCCCCACTCATTCTGCAGCTTTCCCTTCTCTTGTGTCCTGTTCCTTTCCTGTCTCAGCAGTGACCTAGCAGTAGACATATTCCTGCCCTCAATAGTTAGAGTCATGTTAGGCTCAGAGTGGGAGGATAGGTGCTGAGTATGCAAGAGGAACAAGAGCCTTCTTATCAGTGCCTGATCAGATCACAGAGGGCTCAGGGCAAGGCACACCCTTCTGTTTCTTTGAAAAGGAAAAGCACTCACTCTCTATCTAGCACTCACCATACAAGGCATTTTGGGCGTATCCATTGTGTTAACTAAGTGCCTGGCCATATCCCAACAGGCTGCGTGTAGTGCAGCAACTAGAGATGAAGCCAGTTATTTTTCCTAGCATTCTTTACCTAGTAATGAGCTGTTCTAGTGAAGAAGGAGGCACTCTACACTCCTTGCCCCACGCAATTGCATGAGATCAGGGTTTGGCTCATGGTGACCAGAACAGCACACAGTATCCTAGATGTGACTTGACTAACGATTCCCACAGTGCAGAACACACAGTCAGTGTGCACCTCTGCAGCCCAACATCATGTGCATTTCTCCTAGTCTGTAGATGGCTTTAGTGCTGCACCTACTGGAATCAGAACGCAGTTCCCTTCCACCTGGCAATATGAAAGTCAGTGTGGTCCCTAAAGATGCAGCAGAGTTAAAGCAGCAGAACTGGAAGTTAAATCTTAAGGTAGCTCTACATAAACTGCCAGCCTTCACTAATACAGTTACTGTTACGTGTACAAGGTGATGTCATATCTTTCATTCATTTTTATTAGAGTTGGGTTCAATTGAAAGCCAAAATTATGCTCAACCACAGGGAAGGAAGGTGGCTTCAGATGTGAATTTTGCCGTGCTAACAACTTCGTTAAAAATCTGTTTGTGAATGGCCTTGAGAAGAAAACTGGTGTAGAGGGAAGGATGAGGCACAAAAGTTCACTTCAGGTGTGAGGAGGTATTAGTGTGCTTAGTGCAGGAGTAACTGGATACAACCTGCATGCGCAGCAGGACAGACTGGATAATCTATTGGTCCTATAAGGGGTTAAAATCTAGGTATCTGATACCCAGTTAACAAGCTGTGCTGGGTGTTGATGAGCAAGACACCCTACTAGCCATGCAGAGAAAGAATCTGCCAAATAACTGTGTGGGGGAAGAGTCCATCACTTGGGCCCATTTATTTCAAGCATAGAGAAACAGCACTGATGTTCATCCTTCCATTGCAGATTGCCCCACAGTTGCTCAGACAATTGATAAGAGAACAATAATTTTCATTCACCAGCCATTTTGTACTGTTCAGAAGCTTCCATGCAAGCTCTCGGCTTTTATCATCCCAGAACATGAGTGCAATTCTGACTTGGGCATGCATGACAAGAATGGCAAGACTTCACTCAAAGTTAATTAGGACTATGAAAGGAAGGATGTTAAGCTAGGGTAGCACAGAGCAGTGAGAAATAGCAAAATGACCTGCACCGTGAAATCGCAGGAGCCAGTTTCCCTGGTTCTACAAAATTAGGTACTGAATTGCAAAACACATAAAAGTGTTTTAATTTGTTACCAGGGCAATGAGTCAGACTCAGATGGCAAGTCAAGAATAGAATAACACAGGATTTCAGCAGCATAGTATGTTCACATCTTAAATATTGCAGTCAGTGAGGAGGCTGAAAGTCTGAGCCTCTTTATTCTTCTCTCTATTAAACTTTCCCCACAGGTTGATCAGCAGCTTTGAGACCATGAAGTTCCAGTCATATGGATTGATTTTGTAATTTTCATCGCTGGAGGAAGGG